GAGCACTGTATGAACCATGGCTAGCTGATGTGCCACGATGAGATGGATGAGCCATCTGAGTGGGCCTATAAGAAACTCCGCTGAAATTACCCGGACCACGAGACCTCTTGGCATCCCTCTCCTCACGCTCCTGAGTACGGACCATCTCTAACCGTCGAGTACTGTCAACTACCTCGTCGAATTTAGCACCTGCTACATTTCCAGAGTCATAATAAAACGGAACTGATGGTTGAGGCTATTAATGAACCTCCTGATCTTCTCCCTCTCAGTGGGAACCAACCAAACGGCATGACGAGCCAATTCTGAAAACCACATCTCATACTGAGTCACGAACAGGTCCTCTTGATATAAATACTCGAACTGCCTGCGCAGTTCCTCTCTGCGGGTCTATGGCACAAACTTCTCCAGGAATAATACGGAGAACTCATGCCATGAAAGTGGTGCTGCACCAACTGGTCTTCTCCTTTCATAAGTCTCCCACCGTCTGAAGGCTGCTCTGGTCAGCTGAAAAGTAGTAAATGAGACCCCACTGGTCTCCAGGATACCAATTGTACGAAGAATCCGCTGACATCTGTCCAAGAAATCCTGAGCATCCTCTGACTCAGTCCCACTGAATGACGGAGGACTGAGACTCTCAAATCTCTCTAGTCTCTTCTACTCTTCGTCATTCATAATAGGACCCACCTGGGCCTGAGCAGCTGCAACCGGCTGGACTGGTAGTGCCCCCGGTATCTGAAGTCCCTACACTACCTGCTTTGGAGTACGGGCGCCAGGGGTATGAGTACCTCCCCCGGCCTGAAAAGTGGCCGATGCGGCCTGAGCTGAAACCACCCAAGCAGGCCAGTGCAAACAGTCAATATCTGGGCTAAAGCCTCTTGGAGGCCTGGAATCACAATAGGCATAGCTGGTGCCTGAGCTGCCTCGCCGACTCAACTATATCTGGAACCTGCTCATGAGTTGGAGCAACTGGTGGTTTTACTGGTGCTGCTCTAACTGCTGTACGAGCTACACCTCGACCTCTACTACGGACCCGACCTCTCGTGGCCCTAACTGGTGGCACTGGTGGTTGACCATTTGATCCGGTAGTACGTGTCCTCACCATCTGTGAGAGAATAGAATAACAGAAATTTAATTTTCGGAATCAACAAATTCACACGACAGAATACAAGAAAGTGAATTTTTTTCTAAGGGTTCGGCAGCCTCCCAAAGATAAGTACAGACGTCTCCGTACTGATCCGCAAGACTCTACTAAACATACTCATGACTCGTGAGACCTATGTAACCTAGGCTCTGATACCAACTTATCACGACCCAAAATTCGCATGTCGTGATGGCGCTTATCTTAATACTAGGCAAGCCGATAACCTCAATAAATCACAATAATTTTTTAAGCTTGAAAACATAATGTTTAAATTCAATAGAAAATCCTATAAATACTGATATAAATACACTTCCAAAACTCGGTGTCACTGAGTACATGAGCATCTAAATGATAACATAGTCTGACTGATACAAACATTGTCTGGAAATGTAGAACATTACAATTAACTTAAAGGAAAGAGAGTCAAGGTCTGCGAATGCCAAGCAGCTACCTCGATAGTCTCCAACAGATGAAACCCCAAAATCTAGCAACCGCTGTATCCGGAAGTACCTGGATCTGCACACAAAGTGCAGAGTGTAGTATGAGTACAGCCGACCCCATGTATTTAATAAGTAACAAGACTAACCTTTGGCCTGAAAGTAGTGACGAGCTCAACATGTATAGTCTAATATAGAAATAACAGTACAGAAATGTAGGCATACTTTCAAGTTCAATAGTTAAACTCAGTACAAGTAAAATAGATCAATTCTAAATGATATGAGGAATATGGCATCTCTATATCTACATGCCAATGTACATGTTGTATGTGATGCACCTCAGTGGAAACCTCGTGTNATATAAAACATCAACTGCGCTCACTGTGGGGGGTGCAGACTCCGGAGGGGCTCCTACAATCCAAGCGCTATATAAAGCCAATATGGCCTACTGCGGCATGCAATCCGATCCCATAACAATAAAGCCTATAAGGCCTGCTGCGGCGTGCAGCCCCGATCCATATAATAATAAATATAATATGGCCTACAGCGGCATGCAACTCGATCCCATAAATATCCTCACAATAGATGAACATGACTGAGTATGAAATTTATATATTAAAATAATTAATAGCCTAAACATGATCTCTAATACGAGCCTCAGCTTGATTTCTCTAACACGTGGGGAACATGTGAATAATGACATGATTCTTTGATTATGTAACTCTACGGAATTTATTTAAGTCACAATTTCTATGGTGCACGCCCACACGCTTGTCACCTAGCATGTGCTTCATCTCCAAACAATTCACATAACACGTAATTCAGGGATTCATACCCTCAAAATCAAGTTTAAAAGTGTTACTTTTCTCAAACCGTGCGATTCTTTATTCCAATATGTCTTTGTCTCGCAAATCGGCCTCTGAACGCCTCGAATCTAGTCACAATTAAGTCGATACAGTCAACACAAATTATAGAAATTAATTCCATATGAAAATACTAAAATTTCCAACAAAATCTGAAATTCGAATCGAAATTCGTCAGTGGGGCCCATGTCTCGGAACCCGACAAAAGTTATAAAATATGAACACACATTCAACCACGAGTCCAACCATACCAAATTTACCAAATTCTAACATCAACTCAACCTCCAAATCTCAAATTCTTATTTTGAAATCCTTAGGCCCAAATCCCCGAATTTCACCTCAAAACATGTAATCTAGTCGAAATACTCGATGATAATTCAATATTATTGAATATCAATGATCACAAGTGACTTACCTCAAGATTTTCCATAAATTCCCGCTCAAATATCGCCTCAACCTGTGGTGAAAATGTCCAAGAATGGCAAAAGTTCGGAACCCTTTATTTTTTTTACACTGTCCAGAGGTTCTGCACCTGCGGAATTTTTAACCAATTCTGCGGTTCTTCGTCCGCTTCTGCGACTGCCTTCGCTCCTTCGGACAAGAGTCCACTTCTGCGAAGAAGTTGTCCGCTTCTGCGAAGTAGCTCGCCCCTTCATTTTTCGCTTATGCGGTCACACCTTCGAAGATGCACAACCGCTTCTGCGGTCAGCCACGCGCATCTGCGATCCCAGCCTTTGCCAAGCCAATGTCGCTTCTGCGTATCAAGGCTCGCTTCTGCGAGCTCGCACCTGCGAGATAATTTCCGCAGGTGCGATTGCATCAGTAGGCAGCAAATTTCCAGCTTTGTTCTAAGTCCAAATTTGATCCGTTAACCATCCGAAACTCACTCAAGGCCCCCGGGACCTCAACCAAATATACCAACAAGTCCTAAAATATCATACGAACTTAGTCGAAGACTCAAATCATATCAAACAACGCTAAAACCACGAATCATACCCTAATTCAATCCAAATGAAAAACTAACAAATTTCAACTTCTACATTCGATGCCGAAACCTATCAAATCAAGTCCGATTGACCTTAAATTTTGCACACAAGTCATAAATGGCATAACGGACCTATGAAAATTTTCAAAACTTAATTCCGACCCCGATATCAAAAGGTCAACTCCCGGCCAAACTTTCAAACTTTCAATTTCCTATTTTCGTCATTTCAAGCCTAATTTAACTATGGACTTCCAATTAATTTTTCGGATACATTCCAAAGTCCAAAATCATAATACGGAGCTATTGGAATCATCAAAACTCAAGCTTTAAATCTTGGAACTAAGTATTCCAATTCATTCTGAAACCTCCCCGACAAGTCACATAATTATAATTGAACACAAGATAAGCAGTAAATTGGGGAACGAAGCTGTAATACTCAAAAGGAACGGATGGGTCGTTACATTAACGAAGCACAATTCTATTATTTTTAAGTTAATTTGTAAAACGTGCATGTACTATATCAAAACTTTTTTCCCATAAAAAATAGATAAATTATCGCCTTATGCCCATTAAGCCCAAATTATTTACCCGTTTATACCCAAGTCCAAAGAATTTACTTTTCTTGTCACTGCAGCCTAAACTATTTACACGGCCTATCCAATGCCCTTTCCCTTTTCAATTTCTCTTAACAAACATAGCCATACACCTAAACGTTCCCTTTTCCTTTCAAAAATCACCCATAGCTTAGTCTTTTTAGTGGATGATAAAAACCCAGTACAAACCCATCCATTTTCTCAATTGTTTTTAGAATTTTCTATATAAATTTTAAAAGACAAGTTTTTATATTATTTTACATGAGTTTCACTCCAAAATCCTTTTTTTATATTAGTATATTTCGAATTTCTCTTTTCTTATCAGTACTATTATTTACAAACGCTTTCTCTTTTGTGTATTTATTTATATTTCTGAACCCATATGTTATTGTGGTTATATATTAAGCCTCCCATATCAAAATATTTGTGTGTATTTGAAGCCCCACCATTGTTGAGCTTGAAGCTCCTAAATTTAAATATATTTTTTTGAAGATTTGATGTTTAATTCGAATTGGGTGTTGTAAAATAATGCTTATAGCACCTTCAGGAAGTTCATAGTGAAATTTGGTCGCATTGGAGCTGGTTTGAGATACTTGAGAATGAATTTTTCAGCTTAAATCTTAAAGAAAAACACAATTACACAATAGTATATCGCTAAGGTATACGCTATACTGCAACAGTATATTGTAACAGTATGTAATATACTGCAATAGTATATTATAATAATATACAAAAATAATAAAAATATATTGTAATATTATACAATATACTACAATAGTATACTTCGACTAATATTTGTTAAATCATCTGGATGCTATTGTGGAAAGCCAAAATCATGGTTATAGTCCGAAATTGGTTGGTGATAACTAAAAAAAAAATTGTCCTACAATGAAAAAGCTTTGCAGGGGTAGTTTCCCCCTCACAGAGTTAGAAAAGAGACTTACCTCGCTCCGAAGTTTCATAACCGGCTCCAAAGCCTCTCTAACACCTCAAACCGATGTCCATCGATCCAAAACTAGTCAAACAAGGCGCAAACCAATCAAAATATACTCTAATGCCCATAATTAATCAATTTAAACAATTCCCAACTCTCCTCAAAAAGTTGATAAAGTCAACCATCAGGCCCACGTGCCCAGATTCTGAATTATTTTAAAGATAAACCTTACCCATAACATTACTAACTCAGATATATAATTTATTCTTAATTCCATTACTAAAATCGCAGTCAAAATCCAAAATTATCAATTCTAGGTTTTCTATCAAAATCCCACAATTTTCCTAAAGTTTCCTCCTTAAATCCACATATAAATTTTACATTAAGCTCACAATAAGTAGAAAATTACTTACCTTGTTCTACATGATGAAAACTCCTCAAAATCGCCCAAGAACCGAGCTCCAAAAATCCCAAATGAAAATGACGAAATGACCAAGTTCGATCCCATTATGTTCTGCCCAGTTTTCGCTTCTGCAGACATATTCGCGCATCTGCGGCCTCGCTTTTGTGATCCAAAATGCGCATCTGCAGAGTACACTGCCCATCTGAGACATCGTATTTGTGGAAGCATTTTCGCGTCTGCACAGGCGCTTCTGCGATTGCCAATCGCACATCTGCGGACCCGCCTCTTCTTCGTCTTCATTTCTCGCTTATGCGATTCCGCAGTTGCGGGAATTTCTTCACACCTACGACCACTGCCTTGTCCCTCCCCATTTCTCTTCTGCGAGCTCGACCTCACTTCTGCGATGTCGCTTCTGCGACCAAGACATCGCAGAAGTGATCACACCAGCTCCTGCCTAGCTTCAGCATTTCTTAAGTCCAAAAAAACCAATCCGTTAACCATCCGACATTCACCCGAGGCCCCCCGGACATCAACCAAATATATCAATAAGTCCCAAAACACAATACGAACTTAGTCGAGCCTTCAAATCACATCAAACAACGCTAAAATCACGAATCGTACCCCAATTCAAGCTTAATGAACTTTAGAACCTCAAACTTCTACATTCGAAGCCGAAACCTATCAAATCAAGTCCGATTGACCTCAAATTTTGCACACAAGTCATAATTGACATTACGGACCTACTCCCACTTTCGGAATCGAAATCCGACCTCGATATCAAAAAGTCCACTCCCGGTCAAACTTTCCTAAATCATCCAATTTCTAACTTTCGCCAATTGACACCGAAATGACCTACAAACCTCCAAACCGACATCCGGACACGCTCTTAAGACCAAAATCATCATGTGAACCTGTTGGAACCTTCAAATTCCAATTCTGAAGTCATTTACTCAAAAGTCAAATCTTAGTTAATTCTTCCAACTTAAAGCTTCCGAAATTATAAGTTTCTTTCCAAATCAACTCCGAATTTTCCCAAATTCAATTCCAACCTCACGTACAATTCATAATACCTGAAGTTAAACTTCTCAAGGTCTCAAACCATTGAACTACATATTAGAGCTCAAAACGACCGTTCGGATCGTTACACAATACAAAAATGACAGCTAGCAAGATTCTTCCATATCTTTTGTAACAAACTTACATGCTCTCACTCAAAACTCATATGTACATACACACTCTTATTTTCTTGGCCACCAATTAATCGTTATGCCTACACTAATATATCTTCCACTCACTCACTTACACAATTAGGGAACAGACACACACCCACGAAAAAGGCTGGAAAAGAAACGGAGGAGAACTTTAGAGAAACTTAGGCAATCTTCTTCTTGGCTAACAACTGCCTCACCGCATCTCCTAGACCTCTTTTCTCTAAGTAGTAGCACCTAAAACACACATGAGCTCTCTCATCTTCTTCCATGGGTTTTCCTCCATTTTTTCCATGTAAATCACCCTTTTCTGCACCCAAAACCAGATCTAAAACACCCCTAAACAACCACAAAAACCAGCTCAAACCCAACCCCAAACCCAGCTGAAAAACTGCTGAAAAACAGGCCTAAAACCAGTCCTTCAACACCTGCAAAAACCCAGAAACCAGCCCCGAAATATCATCCCAAACATCACCAAAAACGTATTTGAAAAATCAGCCAAAATCTAGCCCCAAAGAGCTGCGAAATCAGCTGAAAGACTGCTGAAAAAATAGCCAAAAACACAATCCAAAAGCGTCCAATTCTCAGCCCCAAAAACACCTCAAGGCAGCCTCCTTTTCCACATCGCATAACAGCGTTTTTCGAGTTGAGGGAGGAGGTCGCCGTTGTTGGTTTCCAAGTTGTAGCTATCGTTGTTGTTTCGATCGTTGCGTTGCAGAAATTTTAAATTTCGGATTCAATCAATACAAGGTTCATTTGTGCTTCTATGTTCCATCCTTTATCATGCTATGCACTCATTTTTGTTTCTTTTGTTTATTAGCCACGTAATACTCTATTTTAGTGTGATGGTTGTGTTTGCTTTATTGTCTTTGGGCTATTATCTAAGTGCTATAAGTTAGTAGGTTTAGTTCATCAGATCTATGTAGAAAGTATTTGTTTCACGCAGCCCGAAGGCAATTTTTTTGGGGCTCACATAAATTAGGTAAGACTGTAAGGGTTTACCGGTATTAAATTAGACTTAATTTAAAAGGGGTTTAGTTCATGTAATTCTACTAAGTGGCTATGGTCATAAAGGTCACAAGCATTGAGTCATGAGTTAGATAATTGACGAGCTAAAAACAGAATACAAAATTATGCTCGTTAGTCGAATATAGTATAAAAAATATCGTATTCACAGGGATTGGATTTAAACAGTGTTTTCGTAGCTTCTAGTTTTAATTGCTATCCAAGATGATCAACAATTTAGAGTTGTGTGATTTAAAACTAAAATTTACTAAAAATCTAAACTATTGGCTAATGACAATCGCAACAAGAGTAAGCAAGAAGATATCAAAGGGAGAAAATAGGGGTTGATTGGATAGGTGTAAGATACTTGTTTGGGAATTAACTCTAGTTACTTCACTTCTATGGTTCAAGTGATTCTCTCAAATTCACTCTATTATATTCAAACAATCAAAAGAAACTCCTCTCTCGATTAAGTCTCAACCTTACGATATGAACTAAGTTAAGCTTGGTGAATATATGCAAGAATTCGTAGTGGATTGATCCTTAGGAGAACCTCTTTCGATTATCCTCCTAACTAGGTCTAAACATTAATTCAACTAGCCTCTTTCGATTACTAACAAGAATCAATGAATTCAACCAATAAGATAATGCAGAACATCACAAATTATGCCTCTTTCGATTACATAAACAAGTGAATATATATGCAGCAATAAAAACACCCAAAACGATTTAATACATAAAATTAGAGTTAATATCCACAAACAATTCTCAAAATACCAAATTCATCAATCCCTAAGAAGAATTACTCCATGGATATGGAGAAATTCATCACAATTAAGTTTAAGTCAAAGAAAAATATAAAACATCCAAACCCTTGTCTTGAGTGAGGATGAATAGTGAAATCCTTGTGCTCTTGCTTCTCCCTCTTCTCCTTAGCTTCCTTATGTCTAAATTATGTCTAAAGTCCTCAAAAAACCATTTTTCAATGTATATATACCAAGTAGGGTCGGGCCCAAACAAATATATCTTCTCCTACGCGAAAAAGTACACTTTTTCGGAGTTGGACGTGCGCGGCCGCGCACCTGGAAGTGTGGCCGCGCACTTTTCACACTGTTCTGCCCCATATGCGTGGTTAGTGCACGGCCGCACACTTGCCGAGCACTTTTCACCCTGTTCTGTTGGGACTTTGAAACAACGTTAAACATGAAAGTTATAACCCTTTGAATTAGCTTTCCAACAATATATTGTGGAGCACAAACGGAGTTCCGAGAAAAGAGTAATGTGCATTTTACTAGACACAGCGCAATATGCCTGCTCGATTCTTCGTTCATTCTTAAGTATCATCCGTTGATCCCCGAACACGATCCCGGCTTAATTACTTGGGCTTTTACTCATATTTCAAAGCTCCAAATCACTTGAATTCATTCCATAACATCTACATAGCTCGGAATCGCTCATACAAGGCATAAAACACATAATTAATGCAAAATACTAGCGATTAAAGCTCAAACTCAACTAAAGTGCAGTAAATTGGAATGCAATAATCGACTAAAACATGAGATTATAGCCTAATATCAACACCCCACACTTAAACCATTGCTCGTCCTCGAGCAATCAAACCACACTTTATATAGACACAACCTTACTAAGCAATTCTCCTAACTCATCACACCAAGAATATTTAAAATAGACTAAGCACAATAGTGTAACATCTTCACCTCAAGATTTGACTCACAAGTTCCACGCATTATTCACAACTCACTAACTTACTCTAACATAGAGGTCAATGACATTACCTTTCCTTCATAAATCATTTGCCCTCACACAACAATAGAGAGTAGTTCCACAAACAATAAAATTCAAGAACAATTAGGAACTCAAGATAGAAAGAATTCACTCACTCTCAGAAACGACATTCATGTGCCACAAAAGATGCACCATAGGCTTGCCCGTAGTGTACTACTCTACTAATTGAGCTCATTCAGTCAAGGATCAAGTAGGACTTTTAACTGGTTGTAATGTAGGTTGCGGAACGGGTAGGATACATTTAGATATAAGAGTGACTACACATCCCTAAGCACTTTAATGCATATACTTTGACATTCAAAACCCCACACTTATGTCAAACCATACTCCACCTTGACATCAACATGCATTAACTCCCCAAAACTATTTAAGCACCATTACATCAAGAGTTACCACTTATCAATGAATCTCGTTCACAACAATACAACTATTTTTTTTTCTTTTCCTGTTCAATTCAAGTGGCTTTTACTTTTTCAAAAAAAGTGCACATTTCTCCTTGTTTCATTAGTTCCACTCAAAAGCCAACCCAACCACCCCACACTTTAACTTTTACAAAGTTCATTATAAGTGCTCATGAGAGGTACAAGGTTCAAATAGATGGTCAATTCAAACAAAAGGGTAAGGCTTGTAATGTGGTTACCAAAGAAACAAGATTACATGCTCAAAGGGGTTAAATAAGATACATAACAGTTAGGTGGGTAAAACATATTGCTGGCTCAACAAAAAAATGCCTATAGCATTTCCAAGACTGACTAAACTACTAAATCGTTTTGCAAATACACGGGGCAAGTTCTAGACATCAAATGCAATGCACAGAATCATACAAACCTCACACACACATGGCACATAACTCACTCAAGATTGGATTCATCAAGACACTCTAGTCAAAGCAGTTAAGCAAAGTTAAGTCATATACTTTAAGGTACTTACACAAGAGTCAAAAAATGAGCCTAAGCGTCACAACCAAAGCACTCACTCTTCTCAAGGCATAACCAAGTCAAGAAATATTGATTTCAATTCAAACTAAAGCACAAGGTTTCTTACACCTAACAAAAATAAAAACTAACTACACCTGGTTCAAACAAAACCCTTGGAAAAGAACCGCAGTATAAAGAAAAACCAAGAGGGAATTCATACACTAACTACAAAAGAAAATCTTTTTGTATTTTTCTTTCGACTTAATTCCCTCAAGAAACCCGTCGAATGATATCCATCATCAGGAAAAGACGAAAATTTTAATTTTTTTTATGAATTTTCAATATTTTTCTAACTACTAAAAAGCAAAAACTAACACATATACATGCAACATACAAATATCCCCCACCCCACACTTTAAGTTGTGGCATGTCCCCATGACACACAATTAAAAATCATAAAAGTAGAGGAAACTTCCCCGAATCTCTAGTCGGGGTCTGAATCAAAGTCGGGCTTCATTCCACGCGCCCGAACTAGTGTACACATCCATGTA